GCTAGAAAGACATGCTCAAACATGAAGCATATAAGACTAGTTTGTGTGATTTACACTACAAGTGTATTAGGCCTGCATGGAGTGACAAAACCAAGCAAAAACAGTGTTGTATCATGGAAAAACAAAGCCTAATACATACTGAAATGAAACTAAAACAAGCTAAGCAAACATGCTACCTTCATAAGCCATTTATGCAAGCATACAAGACAACAAGGAGAGGGGATGACTCTCTTCTATTTAAGACCTCAAAACCACCTTTCCACCACTGAAAATCCTCTGGATTTTAGTGGTAGAAAGGTCATGAAAAGCTAAGAACAAGGGCCAAAACGTATGGCCTAAAATAATGCCTAACAAGGCCTTGGAGGGGATAAACAACCCCAAACCAAGAAGAGACCTTAAACAAAGATCTAAAGCATCCAAAATTAGAACTTTTATCAGTTAAGAGCTAAGCTTAAAACAATAAGCAAGAAGGTCTAAAAGCTTAAGCAAGAAAGGGGGATTAAAAGCAAGTTTGCTCACCCTTGAAGAACACCTTCAAGAACACCACACCAGCACCTTTCTCTGATCAAAACCAGCCCAAGAACTCTAAAACCAACTCCCTAGTACCTCAGCAACAAGAGGATGGTGTATTGCTAGGTGTTTGTGTGCAATAGTGTGAACAAAACACCCTTTAGAGCACAAATACACACACAAATATGTAAAGAGAGGGAGATATAGAGATAGATAGATACAACTTCTCTAACCCTATTTTTCAGAACCTCTGAGAACGGAGGGGAAACTCCCTCCTTATAGGAATTCAATTCCAGGGCTTCTAAGAGAAGCTAAGCAAGGGGTGCAAATCCCTCCATACACGTGTATGGAGGGGGGCAATTGTGCATGCCAGCTGTGTCAGTTGGTATAAAATGTCTACATAAAGCAGATGAACAGGGTTCGGTCAGAAAACATGGCCAATCGACCAATATAAGTGCCGGCCAACCAAATAATGTGACGATCGGCCAACATTTTTGGCCGATGGCAAGAAAACGAGGCTGAAGGCCTCAAGCCTTGGTCGATGGGTTGAGGGGATGGCAAACAAGCCACCCTCTTCCCTCAGAAGCAAAAACACAAGTGCTTGGTCCACAACCAAGCACAAAACAAACAAGTTGAGAGATCTTGAGGCAAGGCGCACGGCCAAGACCTCCGAGAACTCAAAACAAACACGAGCATGGATGATCATCGAGTGTTCAAACGATGACGTCCAAGTCTTGAGGATGGTCAAAAATGGGGTGTCTACAGGTAGCAGCGGATATGGCTCTACAGAAAGCTAATGGACTTTGGTGTGATGACAAAGCATTGAAGGTTAACATGGCTGAGTTCAGCAAGGTACATGTTAAGAATCAAAGTATCCGTCACCCATTACAGTAGTGGAAGGAAAAGGGTGGACATCACACTGTAAGGGATCTGTATCAAAGGAGAAAGTCTTATGCCGATGTGGTCAGAGACAGGGGCCCTCAACCCAACTCAGTCCGTACTATTAAGGTACAGAAAGGTATAAATGGCTGGTTGTATAAAAGTGTTGTGGTAAGATTGAAAGCACATATCTCGATTGCAGAGTTTCAGGATGAACTTCAAAGAAGAGGCCATGGAGACATCAAAGTTAGAGTAGGAGGTGGATGACAACTAGTTCTTTCATTTTAAGCAGTAGGTGCTATGAGAGAGAAACTATCACTAATGAAGGACTGGCTTACAAACTGGTGTGACTCGGTTGAGGAATGGAATGAAAGCATGGCTTTTGACCAGGTGAGGCAGGTATGGTTAAGCTGCTATGGTGTACCACTATAACAATACATTTTGCACAATAGGTAGTGAGTGGGGAGAGGTGATTGAAATGGATGTAGGCACAATGAATATGGAGTCTCTCTACTGTGGAAAAGTCAAGATTGAGACAAGTTGCATGGATTCCATTAATTATCTTCTTAATCTAGATTTCCAGAGTGTATTATATCCAGTCAGGATCTCTGAGGAACAAATCATAGTCCCAACAATAGTGAAAGAGCAATGCATATGTTAATCTTTGTTGAGGAACAATGAAACTAGCTACAGCTCCGAAGATGATGTTGAGACTATTGCAGATAGAGGTAGCAGACAAGGGGAAGAAGATGATGAGGTGAAAATCCAGGTCGGTGCTGAGGTGGATGCAGGGGGTGTGGTGGTTGCAGGGGATAAGGTGGTGGATCATAACCATACAACTACTATGGAGGGGGAAGCAAGCTTCAAAGAGGTTTCAGTGGTGGAGGAGACAGACCTGACGATGGGTGTGTCAGAGGCTGGCACTACACATAAGGAACGCTCCATAAGGAGGCTCTGCAAGGGAGTGTTAGAGGAGGGTGGTGCAAGAAAGGGAGGTAGGTGTAGAGCTGATGATGAGGTGGTCACCCCTAGTTTTATTAGAAGTATGAGTGGGTCTATTGGGCAGAAACAAGGCATTATCTTAGAGGTGGATCTAAATAGGGCCTAAGAGGACTCAAGTGGGGATGGGTAGGCCCAGAGGGCTGTGTTAACAGGTTTTAGGCCAGCACTCATCCTATGATTACAACTGTTAATGGGGTAGGGCATGCCAATCATATACACAGCAGAATGGGCTCAACCCTTATCAGCAAGAAGACTTTGCAGGTGAGAGGTGAGGAAAATGGTAATCATAAACGGCGGAAGAAGGGGAAACATAAAATGAGAAAGAAAGTTATGAAGCAAACACTCAATCTGAGGAAAGGGGCAGTGTTCAGGTCTGCCGTAGCTTCTATTTCCCTATCAATGGCAAGTAAATCTAGTAGAGGAGGCATACAGTTATGAGAGGCAGCAGCATCCATCCAAATTGGTAAAGTGCTGGGGCTAGATTGTGATGGCAAGGAGGAAGAGGTGATAAGTAAGCTAGAAGAACTGGAGGCCACAGATAAGAGGAAAGAAGTGAGAAGGGGTGGGGATATTCATTGAGCTACAAGCTCAGGGGGGTCTTCAGTGAAAAAGCTCTCTATTATGAAGTTACTATCTTGGAATATTAGAGGTCTTGGCAGACCAGGGAAAAGGAGAAAAATTAAACAAAGTTTGGCAGCAAGGAAAATCAGCTTTGTGATGATTCAAGAAACAAAGAGATCCTCAATTACGCCTGAATTAGTAAAGTCTCTCTGGTATGTTGATAATTTTGAGTATATGGAAGTGGACGCGGAAGGTAGAGCTAGAGGGCTGCTATGTATATGGAGTACTGGGGTGTTTCAACTAGAGGCTTGCTGCGGCCATCGTAACTTCATCCTACTGTCAGGTACACTTTTTTCCTCTTTTAATTGTGTGATTGTTAATGTATATGACCCATTCGAAGTGGTCAAAAGGAACGAATTATGGGTCTTTTTTGCTCGATTAAAGAATATTTTCTTGGGGCCCTGGTGTATGCAGGGTGATGTTAATGAAATAAGGAATATTGCTGAACGCATTGGGTGCTCAAGAAGAGACAAAGGAATGAAGGACCTTAATGCCATGGTAGAACAAATGCAGTTGATTGACTTGCCCATGCTTGGGAGGAAATTTACCTAGTGTAAATCACAAATTAGAGACAAATGGAGTAGAATAGACAGGTTTTTGCTTAATCATGAATGGGTATAGAACTTCAACTTCAAGTTATGGGGTCTTCCTAGATTGATTTTTGATCAGTGCCGTATCCTTTTGATGGAGGATGAAAGAGATTGGGGTCCTCGTCCTTTTAGGTTTCTAAATGCTTGGACCCTTGATCCTAAGTTTGCAGGTTTAGTGGACAAATTTTGGTCAGATTTCCAGGTTGAAGGTTGGGCCGGGTATAGATGTTTCATGAAATTGAAAGCCTTAAAACACAAATTGAAAGTGTGGAATATTGAAGAGTTTGGTATGCTTGAATCTAAGCTTAAGGCTGTAGAAGAGAAAGCCCATGCCATAGAGTTAATAGCCGAAGAAAGAACACTTCTGGGGACTGAACAAGCTAGACGGAAGGAAATTATCAGTAAAATTTGGAGATTAAACAAAATGGTGGAACGGACTTGGTTACAAAAGTCCAGAATTAATTGGGTATCCAAAGGAGATAAGAATACAATGTATTTTCACATTATGGCTTCTAATAGAAATAGTAGAAATTCTTTGTGTTTAGTTATGGTGAATGGCTCATTGGTGGAAGAACCTATAGAGGTTCGGCTGGAGGTGAAGTCTTACTTCATGAATCTTTTCTCCGAATCTTGGGCTACTAGACCCTCACTATCTGGCCAGTTCAAAAATATTGGAGGTCGTCAAGAAGTGGAGATGTTGGAAACAGATTTTACTGAAGAGGGAGTCAGATATGTTATCAAGAACAGCGATGGTAATAAATCACCTGGATCTGATGGATTTAATTTGGCCTTTTATAAGAAATGTTGGGGAGTAGTCAAATCTGAAGTCATGCAATTTTTAAGAGAATTTCATCAAAATGCCTCTTTAGTGAGTGGTTTAAATAGTTCCTTTATAGCTCTAATCCCAAAAGTTGATAGCCTCTCAAGCTTAAGGGATTATAGGCCAATTAGCCTCATTGGATCCATGTACAAAATTTTGGCTAAAGTCTTAGCCAATAGGATGAAACAAGTGATGCCAAGGATTATTAGTGAGACTCAATCCGCTTTTCTTAGGGGAAGGAATATCCTAGATAGGATTCTCATTGCTAATGAGATAGTTGATGGGTGGAGAAAATCAAACAAGAAAGGTTTGGTGTTGAAATTAGACTTTGAGAAGGCATATGATTCAGTCAACTGGGAATTCTTATTTAATATGTTATCTAATTTTGGCTTTGGCGATAGATGGGTGAGATGGATGAGAAGTTGTGTAACCTCCACAAAAGTGTCAGTTTTAGTAAATGGTTCACCTACTGAGGAATTTTGCCCACAGAGAGGTCTTCAGCAAGGTGACCCATTGTCCCCTTTCCTCTTCAATATTGTGGACGAGGGTTGAATATCTTGTTTGCTAGGGCCAAGGAAATGGGTTTGATAAAAGGGGCTGCCATTAGGAATAATGGAATCATAGTAACGCATCTACAATTTGCAGATGATACAATACTGTTTTGTGAAGCTGAGTGGGTGGAAGTGGTGACCATCAAACCCATCCTAAGATGTTTTGAAATCCTATTGGGGCTGAAAATTAACTACCATAAGAGTGTGATTGCGAACATTGGAGTGGATGAAATGTTGCTTCAGAGTTTTTCCTCTCGATTAAATTGTGCCCATCAGAGGTTACCTTTTAAGTACCTAGGTCTACCTCTAGGAGCTAATCCTAGTAGGTTAAGCACTTGGAAGCCAGTCTTGGACAAGTTTAAACAAAAGTTATCTACATGGAAAAGAAGGCTGCTTTCGTTTGCCGGGAGATTGACAATAATTAAGTCCGTCATGAGTAACTTGCCTATCTATTACTTGTCTCTGTTCAAAATACCTATGGGGGTAAAGCAATTGAGAAGATTCAAGCAAACTTTCTTTGGTGGGGATCTGACCTCAGAAGGAAAGTTCACATGGTTAGATGGGATACAGTTACCATGAGTAAACATTTGGGAGGTTTAGGGATCAGAAGTATCATAGTTATGAATAAGTGCTTACTATTAAAATGGTGGTGGAGGTTTGGGTCAGAGCATTATACTTTGTGGAAGGATGTTTTATGCTTTAAGTATAATATGGGGGGTGGTAGATGGCTGCCATGTATGGAAGGAAATAGCAGAAACTCAAAAATTTGGTCTGATATCATTGGTGCAATTATATCTACTCCTATGCTACACAATCTGTATGTGGCAAACTCAGTCATTGAGTTGGGGAATGGTAGGAGAGCACTTTTCTGGCTGGATAAATGGGCTGGGGAGCAAAGCTTTAAGGGGGAGTTCACCAGACTTTTTTCGCTGTCCAATGACAAAAGAGGAGTAGTGTCTAACTTTTATATCAAGAGTGGAGGGTCTCAGGTTTGGAATTTAGAATTTAGGAGAGCTTTGCTGGCCTGGGAAGAGGAGGAGATTAGGATACTTCATTCCCTCCTTATGAATCATCCAGCAATGAGGGTCACCAAACAAGATGCTTGGAAGTGGAAGGCTGACCCATCTGGTTAGTTTTCTGTTGCATCAGTGTATAAAAATTATGAAAACTCCTTGGGTCCTAGTAGGAGTATGGTAGTGGTAGTTTGGAATAATTGTGCCCCTCCTAAAGTCAAATTCTTTGGGTGGTTGGCTTGGCAAAGCAAGGTGAAAACCTCTAGCTTCTTACAAAGAATCGGGATATTAGCTGCATCTGCCAATGTGGGCTGTGTCTTCTGTCAAAATGAGGAGGAATCTGTCAATCATATCTTGCTTTTCTGTCCATTTGTTTGGCTGTTATGGTCTAATATTATGAAATGGTGGGGTTTTCAGTGGACTATGCCAAACTCAGTGAAAGGGCTGCTGCATTGGTGGTTGCTTTGCAAAATGAAAAAGACTGAGAAGCTGTTGTGGAAGGTTGTGCCTTTGGCTGTTTTGTGGTCCACATGGAAGCATAGAAATGATTGTGTTTTTAATGGTGCCCAGCCAAATTTTGAGGAACTGTGAGAGGTTGTCAAAGCTCGAATTGCTACGTGGGCCCAATCCTCCCTAGCTAAAATAAAGTTCTCTATCAATGATGTAGCCTTCAATTTGCCTCAGGTTCAATACTGTATTAGGAATGGATGCTGAGCTAATCACCTGCTGGGTGGAATTTGATTTTGTTGACTGAGTTTCCTTTGGCAATTCATGACAAAAAGGGGGAGAATTTTCATGTTTATCTTTTTTAAGAGTTTTTTTTGAGTGTGCCTGCATGTTTATCTATGTTCATCTTTTTTGAGAGTTTTTTGAGTGTGCCTGCATGTTCATCTTTTTTGAGTGTGTCTACATGTTCATCTATTCATGTTTGAAAACAATATTCATATGTCTAAGGGTTAGCGCCCCACGGTGGGGTCAAGGGGTAGCATCCCCGAAGAAAAAATGTAGTCAAATTGTTTGACCGCTCGAGCAGTAATTTGTGCACTCGAGCGATGAATGGGAGTATCCAGTATCTTTGCTTGCAAACTGAACTTTTGGGAATCAAGCTTTACGGCTCGAGCAGTGAAATGTGTGCTCGAGCAGTTGGCCTAGATGTTTTGCACGGCCTTTACTCACACCACTCGAGCGATGGAGTGTGTGCTCGAGCGGTCTTCGTGATCCTATTTACTATAAAATGTATTGTTCGCTATTTTTAGGATTTAATCTACCCAAACTTTTAGAGAGAAAGAAAAATCAAAGTGCGGTATATTGAAGAGTGTTTTATAAGTGTTTTCTTTTTTTCTTTTTTTTTTTTGAAACAGCGAAAACTTTATTGATGATCAAAATGCATCACAATTACAGCAGATAACATCAATAAAGACCCAGTTGGAGAGGATCCAACTAGACTAACAGAAGCTAGACAAAACACAGCAACAAAGACAAAGAATACAATACAAACACCTTACACCCTTCTTCCTGCAATAGACCGTCTCACTTGCCTAAGATCATGCACAAAAACTTGAACTGTAAAACTATGCTCTGAGTAATATGGTCTTAACCATAATACAACTCTAACTTTTATCACTTCACATAACTTAGCCACATTAGGGACTGATGCATTAAACACAACATCATTCCTAAGCTTCCACAGGGACCACAACACTACCAGAGGTATGCCCCTCCAGATCTTTCACTCCTTACTGCTGAGCCTCTCCCCATCCCACCATAGAAGTAACCCTTTAACAGTTCTAGGTAAGGTCCCTTGCATATCCCACCAATTGAGCATTTCAATCCACACAGTTGATGCAAAAAGGCAGGACACCATGACATGGTTCACAATTTCAATCTCAGCTTTGCAGAACACACACAGAGTTGATGCATTGCTTTGGAGCACACCAATTCTTTGGAGAAAAACTATTGTCTTTAATATACTCTTCCATGCTAGCCACCCAAGAAATTGGACTCTTGGAGGCAAGTATTTGACCCACACTAGTTTACAAATTCTCAAAAAGAAGGACTTGCAGTAGCAAAAACCCCATTATATACAGATGACACTGAGAATACCTCTGTTGATGCTACTGACCATACCGGCCTATCAACTTGATCATCCACAAATGCAGGTGCAGCACCCAGGAGACTTTGAAGTCTTGTGGCCTCATAATCTTCCCAATCATTTAGCCTTCTTCTAAAACCAAACATCCAATTCCTTACAACCTCCTTTCTCTTATACATTGCTCTCAGTGATACCTCCTCATCCAAGGACAAAAAGAATAAGCTAGGAAATTCCTCTTTGAAACAGGTTGCATGACACCATTTATCCAACCAAAACCTAACTCTGCTCCCATCTTCAACCTTTAACTGCCAATTGTTCATGTAAAACTGTAGAATTGGGCTATTAGGCACAGCAATATTAAGTATACCTTTCTAGACACTAGAGACCCTAGTCCTAGTGCAGGAAGTGGGCACCCAATCATTAAAGTCCACCTTATACTTGCTACAAATAACCTTTCTTCACAATGCATCTTTTTTATACCCAAACCTCCACCATCATTTGATTAGTAGACAATCATTCACCACATTTACTCTTCTCAGCCCCAGTCCCCCTTGATCCACACTTTTTGACAAATTATCACATTTTACCAAGTGTATCCTTCTCCTTACTTCAGGCGCCCCCTCCCCCCCCCCCCTCCCAAGAAAAAAAAAAAAGGAATGAAGCCTACAATCTGTCAATCACTTTAGCTATCCCTTGAGGCAATTTAAACAAGGATCAATAATATACCGGCAATAATGCAGTCACAGATTTTATTAAAGTTAGCCTCCTAGCATAGGATAAAAGTTTTCTTTTCCAGCTAGCTAGTCTGCTATGAACTTTGTCCAATACTGGTTTCCAAGTTTTTTTTTGACTATTAGGATTAGCCCCAATCAGCAGACCTAAATATTGTATGGGCAACTTCTTAATCTTGCAATTCAAACTAGATGCAAAGCTAGCTAGAGATTCATCTAAAACACCCACTCCACAAACCTGGCTCTTATGATAATTTATCCTCAGGCCAGGCATAACCTCAAAACACCTTAAGATCCTCTTCAAGCTTCTGACCTCCTCTTCTTCAGCCTCATAGAAAAGAATAGAATCATCTGCAAATTACAGGTGAGACAACATCACATCATCTGCACCAATTTTCACACCATTAATAATTTCTATCTGGTATGCTCTTGTTAGCAACATATTTAGACCTTCAGCAACAAAGTTGAACAGGAAGGGGGACAGTGGGTCACCTTGTCTAAGGCCCCTTTAAGGACTAAACTCTTCAGTTGGACAACTAATTACCAGTATTGAGATTCTAGTCGTGCTAACACACTCCACAATCCATTCAATCCATCTTCAACCAAAACCAAAATTCAGGAGCAGTGAGTATAAAAACCCCTAGTTGACTAAATCATAGGCCTCCTCAAAATCAAGTTTTATTATCACTCTCTTCTTCTTGGATTTCTTCCACCCATCTACCATTTCATTGGCAATCAAAACCCTATCTAGTATGTTCCTCCTCCCTATAAAGGCTAATTGGGTCTCACTAATGATATAGGGTAGCACTTTTTCTTAATCTTCTTGATAGGACCTTTGTTAGGACCATATATACTGATCCAACTAAACTAATTGGCCTATAGTCTGTTAAGCCCATGGGATTTTCCTTTTTAGGGACAAGAATAATAAATGAGCTATTCAATCCTTTCACCAGTCTGCCATTCCTATAAAATTCCTTCATAAAATTGAGTACTTCCCCTTTCATCATCTTCCAGAATTTTAGAAAGCATAATATGTTGATCCCATCTGACCGAGGTGCCTTGTTTCCTTCACAATCCTTCACTGTTGCCAGGATCTCTGCCTCTGAAAACTCTGTTCCCAACACTTCAAAGTGTGGACTGCTTTGCATTGATTTGAATATGCCTCCTAACTTAGGTCTTAACACCCACTCCTCAGAATATTGCTTCTTGAAGTGCTCAAAAATTGCTATCTTCACTTGACTAGGTTCCTCAAGCACTGAACCACTAAAGGCAATAGATGTTATTTCATTTCTACATTGTCTACCCTTGGCCATCACATGGAAAAATCTGGTATTTTGATCCCCTTTCAAGTTCTAGTTCAGTCTTGATTTTTGTGACCACGTCCATTCCATCATTCTATGAAGTCTCCATACCTCTTCTCTAGTTGCTCTTCTTCTAGCTTTCTCATGTTGATCCAGCTCTCTATTCTTTGCTTGAAGATCAAGGTTGTAAACTTCCTCCTCTATTGTTTTCAATTTGTTAGGTACAGACCCATACACCTCCTTGTTCTATTTCTTAAGTAGTAATTTCAAAACGTTCAATTTTTTCTGTAATATGAACCCAGCCCAACCATTATCCTCTGACTCATTCCAAGCTTTAACCACAAAGGAGGAAAAATTTGGATGTAAACACCAAGCATTTTGAATCCTAAACAGCTTTGGGCCCCAGTCCCTATCAACTTCTATCAAGACTAGTGGACTGTGA